TATAAGCCACTCAATAAAGCCTTAAGATGGATAAGGTATCTCATTCCTAATAAAAAAGATTTGTTGGATAGACTTGTTAATGCTTGTATTTTTTCTAAATTTGATCTAAAATCTGGTTATTAGCAGATCCAAATTGCTGAAAAAGATCGATACAAAACTATTTTTAATATTCCTTTTGGGCAATATGAATGGAATGTTATGCTTTTTGGACTAAAGAATACCCCTTCCAAGTTCCAAAATATTATGAATGACATCTTTAATCCTTATACTAAATTTATGATTGTTTATATTGATAATATCTTAGTATTCTCTAAAAATCTAGAACAACATTTTAAACATTTAAATATTTTTATCAAAGCAATCAAAGTGGTTGGTTTAGTAGTTTTTACCAAAAAAAATTAATCTTTGTCAAACAAAGATAAGATTTCTAAGACACAATATCTTTCAATAAAGAATAATCCCCATTGATAAAGCCATTGATTTTGCCAATAAATTCCCAGATATAATTAAAGACAAAACTGAGCTCCAGAGATTTCTTAGTTGTCGCAATTACATTGCTGATTTTTACAAAAATTTAACTATTGATGCTAAACCATTATTTCAAAGATTAAAAAAGAATCCTCCTAAATGGACGGATGTGCATACTTCAACAGTACAAAAATAAAAATAAAGGCTAAAGAATTACCCTACCTTACACTCTCCGACCCTACTTTCAAAATTATTGAATGTGATGCTTCAAAAAAAAGCTTGGAAGGAATTTTAAAACAAAAAATTTTATATATATATATATATCACTCTTCAAACTTTTCTTGGTAGTAGGCCTAAAAAGAAACATTAAAATATTTTTTTAAAGAAAAAGATATTGGATTTCAAGAGAGAGAATGCGAGCATCAAATTCTAAAGAGAGATTTCTAAAGAGGGAATGGGTTTTAGAGATAGTAAGAGAGATTGGGTATTTAGAAAGAGCTTAAGCTTCTAAACAGAATGGGTTTTAACGATAACAAGAGAAATTTGATTTTTTGAGAGAGTAAGATTATGTTTCTAAAGAGAGAATGAGTTTTTAAAGAGAAAGTGAGATTGGATTTCAAAAGAGAATATAGCGAGAGTTTAAATCGAGAAAAGTTGATTTTTTTTCCATCCTTATCATTGTTGTGATGGTTTGGTTTTAATAGACATATTTTTTTACTAATGAATGTATTTTTGGATTTTGTTTTTGTAGAGAATACGATTTTTAGAAGGGATGAAATAGAGAATTAAAAAAAAAAAAATTGAATTATTTAAAAGTTGTTTGGAAAATATTTATTCCAAAAAAAATCAAAATGGAAGTCAAAGAGAAAGCACCCTCCAAAATTTTGAACTTGGATGCACGAAAGATAGAAGTAGAAAATTTTAAAATTTTGAATTGAATTTGAAATTTTATTGTGACATTTTTATCCAAAAAAAATCAAAATAGGAAGATTCAAAATAAAACAAATAAAGAAGATAAGTTCTAAATTTTGCCATTAAATGCATAAAATTAGGAAATTTTTTAAAAAATAGTTTTCTTTATAATAAATGGAGTAAAGATACACAAATTTCTAAAAATTACATTTGGATGCAATCTTTGAAATACATGGAGTAAAGATAAACCAGCCCAATTAAGAGCGGCCATAATAAAGCCCGTCCCGGCCAATTTAGCATGCCTTTTTTTGTGAAAGAAAAAAACAAACTTCACCGTTCAAATTCTTCAGAGTTTAGCAAGTTGCCGTTAAAAACTTTTATGTTTTACAAAAAGTAGTTTAAACTGCGATATTCTGATAATATTGGGGAAAAAACACGTTATTTTGATAAAAATATTAAAAACACATTTTAATTATTTTTAAATAAAAAACGGTAAAAAAGTTCCCATTTATTGCATCCAAATTTATTTATTCTTTTAAGTCATATCCAATTGTTCCAAAGATTGCATCCAAATTCAATTTGTAAAAAAAAAAAATCTAAATATTTTCACTTTATTTATTCCAAAAAAAAAAGTTTTTAAAAAGTTTCTTATTTATATGCATCCAATATCAAAATTTAAAATTTCTATTTTTTATCCCTTCTATTTTGAATTTCTTTCTATTTTGAGTTTTTTTGGATAAAAACTTTCTACCAAAATTTCAAATCCAATTCAAATTTTTTCACTTATTCATTATGCATCCAATTCCAAAATTTTAGAACTTGCCTTCTCTTTGCCTTCACTCTCCCTATAAACCAAATCTCTCTTTATGTACAAAGATGATAGCAATGAGGAAAAAAATGTATTTTTCATGGGTTACACTATCTAGAAATCCAATTTTTTTTTCTAAAAACCCATTCTTTCTCTAAAATCTCAATCTCTCTCTAAAAACTCAATCTCTCGCTTTAAAAACCCACTCTCTTACTATATCTAAAGCTCATTCTCTCTAGAAACCCAATCTCTCTAAAAACTCTTACTCTCTAAAACTAAAAAATTAGTCATGGTCAGCTTCTGAGTCGACCTTATTGGGCCAAAACAGTTTTGGGCTTTACCAAGCCTCAAGCCGGGCCAAACCCGTTGGCAACCATAGTTTTAAGTCTTTTAGATGGATATTAAAATATGTTCGTATAAATCATAGAGTACAAAGCCTTTCATAAATCTAGTCCCACACAATAACACATCCATTTAAGACGAAGGTTCTCATCTTCATTGGACTTTTATGCATCTACGGCAAAAATCTCTCTCATTCTCTCTCTATCTGCCTCTTGAAACCCAATCTCTCTATCTCTCTCTAAAAACCTATTCTCTCCTCTCTAGAAACCCAATATCTCCACTCTCTAAAAATCCGATCGCTCGAGAAACCCAATCTCTCTAAAAATCTTTTCTCTCTCTAAAAACTCATTCTCCTTAGAAGCCCAACCTCTCTTTTTCTCTCTAGAAACACAATCTCTCTTTAGAAATGTAATCTCTCCTTATCTCTCTCTAGAAACCCAATCTCTTCTTCTCTCTCTAAAAACCCATGAAAAGTTTCTAAAAAATATTTAAGCATATGTTTTTTTTCTTTTGGGCTTAATACAAATAAGAAAACGTAGAAAAGTGAGTTACAAAAAAAAAAAAGAAAAAAAACAAACAACAAAAACGATGCTTCTTAATGGGCTGGGCTAGGTCGGGCTCATGCCCAGTTCAATAAGTTCCAGGCCTGGCCTGAACATTGAATTTACTAGCCAGGCCGGGCCTGTTCATTCCCGGACCTTATTGGGCTTTGGACCCGGCCTGTAGGCAGCCCTAGCTACATCATATGAACGGAATAAAAGTCAAGAGGGTTGAAAGTGCAACAGCCATCTTGCCAGGCAGTCTGCTACCATATTTGCTTCATGAAACAAGCCCTCTTTGCCATTGTTGACCAGCATCGGTAAATAGTTTGAAGAGGAAATTTGTTTGAGGGTGTGCAGTCTCCATGGGGATTTGTATCAACCTTGTAGAGTTTTGATAAGGACCTTGAAGTCACTCGCAATTTGTAGGGGGAACCAAATTCATTTTGAAGCCGGGTGAAGTGGTAATGCATATGTAGCAATGAATCTCCCACAGTCATCTCGGAGAATAACCCCCCCCCCAGCAAGTAGCACCCGGGTTCTGAAATGACGAGCCATTAGTATAAGCTCAAAGAAGCCGTGTGGGGGAGTCTTCCATGTTACTAGGATGGTCTTTCTGGGGCGTGGAGCACTCCATTGGATATTCAGATATATTGAGGACATACCTTGTTTCCAAGCATTAAGGGATGGTTTTGCAGTAGCATGTCGATTCTCTCATCTCCATTTGGCGGCCATTGGCAACGACCGAAAACTAAAAGTATGGGGGTTGGTCTCTATTGACGAGAATCCTTTATTTCCAACATCTAAAGCTTTATCTCCATTATGAAATCCGATGAGATTAGCTCCATTTGAGGAGTTTGCAGCAACCAAAGTTGGAGAAGATCTAAAGTAGAAAGACACAGAGGAGGAAACGGGATGCATTGAAAAAGACGCCATAGGTAGATCTAGGTGAGAAGAAGGAGAAGATAAATCTGGCAGCCTAGGCTCCATTCCACACTTTGCACTGCATGCCAAGCCAATGCTCCCCAAGGACTGCTATTATGAATTGCATGTCTGCGCACTAAGCAAAAACCATGTGCCCATGCATGCCCGACACACTTCGACTATGCACTTTGCATTCCACAATGTACACGCACCAAGCATAGTCCACGAAAACCATTGCATGGGCATGACAGACTGCATATTACGCATTGTGTGCCTATGCACTTTGCACAATGCCAGAAGATTCAAGACATAGGTGGTCATGGTGGTGGGTGCCACAACATGACGTCTTGAATTCATTCCTACCACAGGTTTAGAATCCATTCCCCGATGATCTACTCAAAAAAGAAAAAGAAAAAAATAGTGCATGAAGATTTTGTGCATGGCACCACGGATTGCATATTGCAATGCACACTGCATGTCCGTGCCCCACACTTTGCACATTGTGTATGGCAAGCCGCGGAAGTGCATCGTGGGCACGCATTGTTGCACACATACATAATGCACCATACAAAGCACAATGCACATATTTTTCAAGAAGATCAATGGGGAAGGGTCCTCTGTCCGTGATAGGAATGGAACTCAAGATGTCATATAGCAGCACCCACCACCCTGACCACCTATGCCTTGAGGTTATTCCTACACATCGCACATATGAGCAGAGCAGAGCATCATGCATGGTGCACCATACATATCCATAGTTTAGAGAAAAAGGTGCACCTCAACACATGCATGGCGGACAAGCATTACATACGCATGGACTACTATGAATGGGCCACCCACTTTGTGCCATCGCATGGCACTGGCACACCGCGCACTACAGTACCCTACACTTCAGACTCCTTTTTTTTCTTGCTATCATAGACAACATACTTGAACACCACATCATACAAAGCGCATTGCGCATGTACACCACACATGGCAAACTATGACATTGCACATTGTGTGCCTGTGCAATGTGCACAGCACACTACAAACAATGTATTGTGAGCCCGCACACCACACACCTTGTACTATACCCCATTTGACGTCCCTCCATTATGCACCGTGCATCACACTTGCTTTTTGCATAATTAGTGCAAACACTTTTCTTTTTGGGTAGTTTAACAGAGAAAAGGAATCCCCTACCTCTAGTAGGGATGGAACTCAAGACATCATGTTGTGGCACCCCGCTACCCTCAACACCTAGCTTGAGCCTATTCTTATAAAAATAAGGTAGGTCAACTTTGTTCTTTGGTTTTTTTTTTTTTGAAAGACCTTTTATTTGGGTAAAATGTTCTTTTCTAGGACACATTTCAAGGATTCGAACCCCTGACATCCCCCTCAACCAAACTGATTCGTCAACCACAAAGCTGAAACTTGAGAGACAATATGCACTGTGTCATACACAATGGACACTGTGAACTACGATCTGCATAAAGTGTGCCACATAAATAACTACACAATGTGCACCACCCACAATGCACGACATGCACCGCACAATGTGCACCCAGAATTACTCACAACACAAACCACCAAGCGCTATGGATTGAAACAATGCAACCATGCACTGTACTTAAAAAACGCCCAAGGCAAATTAATCAGGGCGGCAGGGCGCCACAACATGACGTCTTGAGTTCCATTCATACCATAGGCAGGGGACCCCATCCTCGCTAAACTATCCTAAAAAAAAAAAACACCATGCATTATACTAATAGCCACTAACAGCATGTCATGCACTGCACCCACCACCACTAACAACGCACACATAATGTGCCCCACATTTGCCAATAATGCATTGCACACTGTGCAATTAGCACCACACACTAAACACTACACCTCGCACTACACATGCAATGCGCACTTCACGTGGGTACCAAGCACATTTCACTACATAAGTGTAGTGCACTGTGCAGATCAAGGCTCATTGCACACATTTAACCCACTGTTCAAGCGTATCCCAAGCATGCATTGTGAACACATGCAAAATACAATATACACTACACACCACACACATAAATAGAGCATCGTGCATGGCACACCACGCACATAAATAGAGCATCGTGCATGGCACACCACACACATAAATAGAGCATCGTGCATGGCACACCACACACATAAATAGAGCATCGTGCATGGCACACCACACACATGCATAGTGTAGCAAGAAATGTGCACCTCACACATGCACGGCACACCCGCATTGCGTGCATGTGCACTACGTATGCATGGGCCATCCACCTTGGCCATTGCATTGCACTAGCACAACAAGCAGTATGCAGCCCCTGACTTTGGACTGTGTTGTGCTCTAGCTATCATACATAACATACGCACGCACGACACTATCCATGGCATGTTATGCATGTGCACCATGCACTGCAGGTAATGCACTTTGCACCACGCACTACAGGTAATGCACTTTGCACCACGCATTGCACGCCTGCACAACATGGACTACGCATTGCACATTGTGAACAACGCTACACGCGTACACTAGGCGATGTGGTTTGCCTTCATTTTGGGTAAATGTAGTGTGCCTTCATCATGCACACTATGCACTGTGCAATACAAAATTACTTTAAGACATTAACTACACTTGATTGAATCTTAATAAAAAATAACTGAAACTTAATTTAATGATGACAAGAAGTATGGAGAAAAAACCATCCATGTATCAGATTGAGGCAAGAATTCAAAGTCAGTTTTGCATTATAATTTCCTGGCATTCCTTATGAATTGTTTTAGAGGCTAATGTCTGCTCACAAACTGCCAAAAAGTAAGATTGGAAATTCTAGAAATAAAAACGAAAATTATGGATCTCGAGAAAAAGACAAAAGTATATCTCCATAATAACATATTTCTCAACTTTACTTATTTTGCAATGTTCGGATTTAAGATTCTTTATTTCAGAAATTTTTCTTGTGTTCCTTTTTACCTCTCTACTTCAAGATTTTGGCTACATCAGATAAGCAATTGGAACTAGACCAACCAGTCTGCAGGTTCAGCGATCGGCTGCAGATAACATTATGAGTCGAAAATAGACATCGACATCGATTCTCAACAAGGATTCATACCTTCAAATATGGTAGAATATAACTAAGGATGTTACAACTAAAATGAAGTATAAAATGCAATGATAAAAAGTTGCTTCTACAAACAGACATACCTCACCATGTGTGCAGCAGCATGCTCTGTAACTATGAGCATCATAAATCAAAAGGATTGTTTCCCTTGTATAGAGGCAAGAAATCAAAAAGTGAAACCAATCAATGCACTCAAAAAATTTGTCCGTCATGGTAAAAATAAAGTGGGCATACCATATACAGCTCAAAAAAGAAACAGCTGATTGCATATATAAGCCATGTTTCCTGGTGACATACTCCTATATTCATACTACAATCTGGTTCCTAAAACCCCTGCTTCAAATATGCAAAAAAAGAAAAAAAAATTTAACAGGATATAATGAATAGCACATTCTGCAGGGTAAATAATTAAATGTTTAAAATATCACTATGGCCCTGACTCTTGCAAGCTAAGAGAGATTATTCAGGAGAAGTATAAACATCACAGCTGCCTGGATTCTAGCAGGCTAATAGAGATAATTCAGAGTCATAGTTCATGAACTTGAAATTTATAAGTGCAATGTTTTATTTCCATGGCATAAAGGAAACACAAACAACAAATAAGAACACCGATGCATTAGATATACATGTTATAGCAATACAGTAAGAGCATTCAGATATTTTATCAATTTGCATTGCAAAGATGGCCAGGTGTCCCCAACAAACAAACTCACTGAACACAGGACACTTGGACAATGTTCAATATGCAAAAACTTGAATAAATCAAAATGCAACAAATGAAATTTTATCAAAATACAGTGAACCTTTTATTTCATCAAAAAACCCGACATTGTTTTTTCCGCATCATGACCTCCAAATAAACAATGAGGGAAATTAACAACCCAAACTCTTTATCCAACAGTATCTACCAAAACAAAGGGGGGGGGGGGAGAAAAGTGAGTAGAAGAACCGCTTAGAAATACAAAAGGAATAGAGAAAGGTTCCTGCTCCAAAACTAAATCCATACTAAGATTTTATGCCAATAAGAACATGGTACTAAAATCTTTAACTGCTAATTCGGTGAATTGCCTAAAACACTCAAAACAAAAGCCAAATCACGCCACAGTTTATTGTTATTTTCCTCATGATTGTCAAAGTTCCATTATCAAATCTCATGATTGTCAAACTTGCAAATAATAGATACCGACACCAGTAGGACTGAAAACATTGAAAAATAAACAGGAGTGTGCAATTCAGGACGTGAGCCATAAATTAGATATCCTACAAAGAAACAGTTGCAATAAATAGAATTCGTAAAGAATGACAAGTATATAATATTATGGAGTTCATGCAAACCTAAAATATGATAAAGAGCCAAGAAAAAATTACAAGCATTTACCAAGTAATTAACATTCAAAATGAATTTCTAACAATTGAATCTCTCCAAATGCACATCATTAAACATTTAACTCTCAAGAATCAAAGCTATTTATCAAAACTTTAAAATAAATGCATCGAATCTACAGATTGCTAAAATCAGAAAAGAGATCAGGTATTCAAAGGCACAACTTAAAGAGGATGTGAAGAACAAGAAACAAAAAGGAACCACAATAGCTACTTGAAATGAAAGAAAAGAGAATGAGAAATGGCATATCTTTCTTTGAAAATCTAGAGAGAGACAATCCTAAAAGCCCTAAACCCCAATACAATTACTCAAGAACCAGAATCACAGCCAGTGAGAGTGATTCAAACTCTGAAACCCTAATCCTAATTTACCAACCTTTCAAGGGCCAGAGCTAATATGGAGATCTCGTAGATCTCATAAGAATGAGATCATCTGAAAGATCAAACTTCCCTTCTGCCATTATTGGTTGCAAAGTCCAATCGCAACAGAGGGAGAAGCAGAAAGAACTCCCCAGAAAAACAACAAAATCGCTTAGAATCAAAGATTGAGACGATGAAGAATGTATAGAATAGAGGGCATAAACTAGAGAGATTGAAACCAAAGACAATTCAGAAAGGACAGAGAGAGAGTCAGAAATGGAGATGATTTAGGGTATACAAAGACAGTGAAGTGTTTGGGACCAGAGGTGTTGAGGAGAGGGAAAAGACTAGGGTTTATGAGGGTCTTTGAAGAGAGAAAGAGGTTCAGAGAGAGCATGAAAAATTTAGGGAAATCATCGCGTAAAACCCCAAAACAATTCATTTGGTTACATTTCATGCGGCACAAGATTTCTATTGAGCACTTCCTTAACGCCCTTTCCGTGCATACCACTCCCCTTTCATGTGCACCAAGTCCATGAACGCCTGAGCAAGTACAAAGAAGAACAAGAGAGACAATAGCAAAGCACAGAGACTCTCTCTCTCTAAAAAATCATAGCCATTTTCTTCACAAAATCCAACTTAATTTTCCGTTTTTATTCCAATTCATTAGGAAAGAAATGTCCCTGCGTTCGATGAACCAGACAATAACTTACACAAAACGATCTAACAAAAGGCCTCAAACAAAAATACGCATGATCTCAGTAAAAATCTGCAAGCTACGAGGCATGGGCATGACATTGTACATTGCAAATACCTGCAAAACCGTCTTTACTCGCTCTTCTCTATATTGGTCTTCTCCTCTGCTCGTCGCCTCAATGAGAGCAAGATAATACACAAACAAGTGCTCTTTTGTGTTGTCATCTATTTGAAATAGATACTTTTGTATTTTAGAGAGAGAGATTGATACGGAAGGCACTTGAAATCCATGCTCTCATGGAATGGAGAAACTGTGGGTATCAGGGCATTATATAGCCGTAATGGCAGATGAAAGAATAGTGGGCATTCAAACCATGCAAACAAAAAAAAAAAGGAAAAAGGGCAAGAACCCATCTCACAATTTCCATTTTGGTTGCCAAAGTTTAAAAAAGAGAGCCAGGGGAGGGGAAGAGAGAGAGAAGTGGATAGGGCGGGGGCTAGGGTTTGAGAGAAGGAGAGAAAAGTACTAGTGAACGCTTATGGACTTGGGACACGGGACGTATTTCGAAAAGAACGAATGAGGGCCGGGCGGCATATCCGGTCGTCGGGTATAAAGCATTTATTTTAAATTTGTATGTAATTAAATGGTCCATCTAAAAATAATTGTAACTAACCGTACAAATATTTTTTTTGATGTAATTATTTTTTAGTTTTAAAAAAATAATTTGTATTTATTATTTTCATGTTAAATATTATATATCTTTAAAAAATTTGGATCAAATTATATTTTTTCTAGAATGTTCAATTTGATAAATTGATAAATTGGTACAAGAACATGAAATTACCATGCTAAAAACAGAAATAGAAAAGGATAAATGAGAAATGTCGAGCTTAGTTAGGTGCTCAGCAGCATTATTTGTCTATCGATAAATGTGGAAAAAGGAAACCTATAGCCAAACATGAAAGGACCGAGGGATTCTTTGTTGTTGATTACACCATTTGATAACATTTCATTTAGAGAGTCTCCTTCGATCAGAATAATGCCTTGAACATCTTTGTTAACAATGATTTGCAGGTTTGAAGAAGAGAAACCATCTCAGATTGGTTTGCTGTGGTAGAACCACATGATGGTAGAACCACATGACCAAATATAATATAAGATAGTGGTACCCTCATGATCTCGACCACCTACTCCAGCTTGTCCAAGATTTCTCGAATAACTTCCATCAAATTTTAATTTATAAACACCTTCAAGAGGAGGGGTTCAAGTGAAAGACGGGCGGTATTTTGGAATATAAGAGGCGGTATTTTGGAATATAAGAGAATGTGAGGACCTTTAAATTAACAAAGATATATGTCCTTGAAATTTCTCTCCCATCAACGGTAATAGATTACCAGTAGCATAAGGTCGGCAAAATTTTATCGCTTGCAAGATCCAAAGACCTCCCTTCAAAAGTACGTATGTTCCATTCTAGCCAGATCTACCATAAAATAGCACTTTTGAAGATATTTCAAATAATAATTACTGTTTTGGGCAAAGATGGGAAGCTGAGATGATTAATAACTGAAATAATATCTACTGATATGATAAGAGTGATACCCAAAAGGCCGAAGCTCACTTCTAAATATCATCTACAAAGGAGCAATACAAAAAAATGTGGCAACAATTTTCTTCATCATTCTTGAGAAACATATTAGGAAAGATTTTCCCCTCCTTCGAAGATTGTCTATAGTAAGACATTTATATGGTAAGGCAATCTAAACAAAAGCCCTTAATCTTCATAGGGATATGTCATTTCCGTATTACAAAAAGATAATCTTGGACCATATAGAAAAGTAATCGATAGGCAGATCATAGAAAAGTTAATCGATAGGCAAACTTAACAGAAAAGACCCGTCACTTTTACTTTCCCATATAATCTTGTCTTCACTTATAGACGAGATATAAACATCTTGAAGGATAGATAATAAATTTTAAAATTGTAAAATGACTTTGGTCCGGCATTCTGTTATAGCTACATTCAACATTCCATACGAAAGTACCCGAAAGTGAGCGAGAGAATAAGTCTGAAATTTTTGTTGTCGGAGAGCTTACTCTTGCAAAGAGATTTGGAAAGAGAAGGCATAGGGGCTGATCCTTGTGCCACTTAGTAAACAAGAAAAAAAAAAGCACCACATTTTTGCAATTATAAATTTCCTTCCAGATTTATGAAGAAATTTTATCTCGTCTCTCTTTTTTAATCGAATGAGTGTGTTTGAACACATTTTTCAGCACCTTGGTCCCTGATGCAGAATAAAGAGGAAGCCTGTCAATGAAGCCTTGACATACAATGGAATTCTCGATAGTCTCAGAATTGTCCCAGAATGGGTAGAAATCTTTCTAAGCACTTCAAAAGGCCACCTGCCAAGTTTCGTCAAATTAAACATATCTAAAGCAGTGCAGACAAAGAAACAATTTCAGAAAGATCTCTAGCACCCTAAAATAGACCCGTAACTAGAACTATATTTTCGGTGCTTCAAATTGTTGTGGGACCACCGACATTTGATCCGGCAAGGTCGAAAATCCCATGGGTCAAGTTTCGGCTTAATCGGGTATTCCAAGACAAAGTTATGGGTAATATATTGAAAAGGGATAGGCTGCACACTATTTCCATGTGGCCTCTATGCACCAAATCACCACTACAGGTGGTTGTTTTTACAGTCTCGAGTAGTGAATGTTGGGGGCCATATCTCATTCGTCCCGAGTCAGATCGCGCTCAAAATTTGTGAGCGTGTTCGTCTCGTCAAGACAAACGCTTCTATATGTGACACGTCCCATGATGACGTCCAAGCAGGGAGAAAAGCTAGAGAGAAGTTGCTGATTCGTAAAAGAAGTTACAGAAAATCAGCAGCAACATGCCTCACTCGAGGGACTGAATCATGGCGGTCACCCTTCGAATTGACACGAGATCAGTTCCATCGTGTGCATAAGGTCTAGAGCTATCTCTGGTCCGAACCCTATATATGATGAACGGTCGAATTTCTCACACGAAGCCAATAAAGTGACTATAAATTCTGATGCTGGAATTCTAGATTTCGGCCAAAATTCCAAAGTTACAAAATCTTCATCCGGGCACGAATTCGAGCTGCGTTTGTTGCCATGAGATCATGACGACATGCTCAGTGTGATCCAGCGAAGAAATCACGGAGAAACATCAAGGAACGAACACATTATCGATTCAAAATTTTCAAGATTCATCCAAATTTCAAGCCGCATGATCATGCTTAAAAACATGATTCATGGCTCGAAGTTGGTATCAAATCGATCGTCATGCTGAGCCCTACAAGAAAACAGTTCTCTTTCAATCAAACAGGAGCAACCCCAGATCACTCATGGAAGATCACGCAAGTTCTAGGGCAGCAACAAGGACTGTTTTGAAATTCCATCTATTGTTGGGCAGGGCAAAACAATCATTTTGCATCCATTTTAAAATTTTTTTTTAATTCAATTAAATTGTAATTATCATCGTAGTTTTTTGGTGTACACCCATAAAATAGGCCTAATTCTTTATAAACATGTAAAACCTAATTGTAAATGACACCCTGTTCATTCTACACATTGACCAATAAAACTTCAATTTTTGCCTTGAGTTCATGGGTGCATTGTGGAGAGAAAAAGAGGAGAGAGAAAAAAAGGGTCGATACCCTTTAGTAAGGTAATTTTCTCTCTCCTCCTTTTTTCTCTCTCATCTCTATCTCTATTTCTCTTTTTTTCTCTCATCTCAATCTCTCTTTCTCTCTTCTCTTTTCTCTCTCATCTCAGTCTCTCTTTCTTTCTCCTCTTTTCTCTCTCATCTCTTTCTCTCTCCTCTTTTCTCTCTCTTCTCGCCTTTATCTCTCTTTCGTTTTCTTCTCTGATCTTCTTCATCCGCATTCCTTCTCTCTCTTTATCTTTCCTTTCATTTTCCTCTCATTCCTTTTCTCTCTCTCACTCTCTCTCTCTCTCTCTCTCTCTCTCTCTCTCTCTCTCTCTCTCTCTCTCTCTCTCTCTCTCTCGTCTCTCTCTCTCTACGTCTCGTCTCTCTCGTCTC